GATGTGTAAGCATTGACAGTGAGTGTGTTATCATGCTAACATTTGCATTTAATTCAAAGCACTCAGAGCACATGTCCATAAAACTCTTGCTCTTTAATTATTTTTCTTTCCTTCTCATTTTGTTTATTTTGTTCATTATGTTTGCAGATCATCTCTATTTTTTCTCTCTCTGTCTTTTCGTTGTGTCCATGTTTGTGTTGGGTTGAAATTGGCTCAGTTTGTTGTCTAAGGCCAAGAGAAAGGTTCCTCCCATCATGTATACCCCACAGTATGTGCCTTACAGTCAAAACTGTGGATTACAATCTCCAACTGAAAGCATCTTACTTGAGCCTAATTTGCCAGCAAAATAAACTGGGCAATGTTAATGAAGTGTATGACATGATGAAGCAGGGCAGCCTCACAAAGAGCTGCAACCACCGCCTTGTGCCCCAAGATGGCTGGAAAGGGAATTAGCAAGAATTAGCAGGAAATACTCCTTTTCCATTACCCAAGCAGACAACTGACTCCGAGAGGGATTGTGGTTTGACTAGTGGGAGAGAGAGAGAGAAAGAGAGAGAGAGAGAGAAAAAAAACAGTCTTTATTGGACCAAATGACTGCTGACGGACTGACCACATACTGCAGAAAACCCTGGCAAGAAGGCAAAAATGTTCTCAAAGGCAGTTTCAGAGAAAGATTTAGAGTTGCATCACATTTGAAGGGAACTGTGGGGTATACATTTACTTTGTGATATACTTAAAATATTAGTTGAAATATGAGTTGTTAATTATTAACTCACACAAATAGACATTTTGGGCCCACAAAGTGAAATGCATTAGGCACGAGGCTTGTCGGCTGCAGGGTATTAATTTTCCATCTCTTTGACTGTTATTGCTTGTGGAAGCTGCCTCCTGTGGAAAGTATAGCTGGAGGTAAGTTAAATACTGCCAAGAGACATGTCCTCTTTTTAGCAAAAACCATGTGATGTTTTTGGTGGGTGCAAAGTTTTAGTCGGTGAAATAAACCTGATATTTTTCCAATCTTACAAATAATTCTGATCAGTCATTATCCATACAGTGTTTCACTGTTGCTCACTGACTCTTGTGAGGAGTTGGACTTTTAAAGGACAACTGAAATAACACAAATGAGACGGAAAAGTTTAAAGTAGTTCATTCCACCTAAATGTCTGTCACAGCCGACATCTTCCCCCATTTGATGTCTGTTGTATAACTGTGGCTTGTGGTCAGGGGAGTTACAGGTTGTGCTGTAGTTGCATTGGACAACTGAAACAGTCATGTAACAGTGACCTATGAATCAAGACCGTCCTTTTGACCAGAAGGCCACAGACCCTTGACAAATGAAGTTATTTGAAATTAAAGATAAGTCTTAACTTAAGCAGCTACAATTCACTTGAATCTGTAAGTGTCAGTTTTAGGCTATAGGTCATTCAGTATTAGAATACAGGTTATTATATATATATTATTATATTATATATTATATATTAAATTTCAGCTAACTGTAGCAGAAAATGTATGTAAAACAACTAAATTGAAGAGAGAAGGTATTTTATTTTCTCAGTCAGATATGTCAATAAAGTCAGTGTCCATGTGAGTTTTAAAAGTCAAGGTTGGTTTATTGACAAATCCCTGTCATTTTTTCAAAATCATCTTGGTACTTACTTCCCTCTTTTTCCATGACAGAAAACCTAAATCTAAATCACGAATGGGGTTTTGGCCTATGTGAGGGTACCAGGTTTTGTGAGTTTGAGGAGATTATTAATAAACGTAGATCATTGCTCTTAAAGTGTATCTTAAAAGGTTGATATTCTATATGTATATATCCATGGTTTACTAAAAAATGAATGGTATTTTATGTTTACATTTTCACAAGTAGCATATTTAATCAGAATGGTTTATCCCAGTTCACTGACAACAACCCAAGAAAACTGCTGTTGTTGAGAAATCCTGTCTGTCTGCAGCAGAGAGAGGAAGGCTACAGTAAACGTGGACTGAACACAAATATACCAGCTGCACAAAAATCTATTTGGCAGTTTGTACAACATGTAAACAGTCTGTGTGTATAGTAGATAAATAGAATTGTGAAATAATTTGAGCTGTTATCTATTTTTTTAGCAGCGGTCAAAAGATAAAAGAGAGAAAGCAGTAACGGTTACTGTAACAGCTAAACCTGGTCCTGTTGCTGTGTTTCTCTATTCGGGCTGAGAAAATCCTCAAGGGGAAAATGTCACTGAACTAAATCATATTTAGTCTGATGTTTAGAGAGAGAGACAGAGAGAAAAATGCATGTGTATCATCATCTGTTAAATATTACTGTCATTATATCCTCATAATGGAAGGAGGAGGGAAGAGAAATGTTTCCACATTAGAAGCAAATGACTTATAGATCAATCCATCGTGTAAAACTTACACAAAGCAATACAGGGCAGTTTGAATAGATGTTGCAGAAGCCTTGCTTCAGCACCCTCCAGCAGGAGCTGCCCAGGCAGGAATCATTGTACTGTCTGATGGCTGCTGACAGAAAACAACACCTCAGATGCATTCATTTTGCCCCTGAGGGAGATTAAAAGAGCTTTGAAGATTCTCTGTTTTCAGATCACCAGTTTTACAGCCATGGTTTTGGACTTCATGTGGGATTACTGGCATACAGGGTCATAGTGTGTGCATAAGGCTAATATATTCATATTTAGTATAATTTTAGGACAACATAAATCAGTAAAAACCATTTAGAGCTTCTTCCATACTCCTGAAAAAAGAATATGCATGCTGTACTGATATTCACATGGCAACTTGACAACTCTCTAATTGCTCTAAAGTGAATTTGGGGACCCTTTAGAAGATAAGATATTGAGAAGATAAGACAAGCCTTTATTGGTTGCCTCGGATAAACTCATATGTTACAGCAGCACAGAAACAGTGCAACAAAAATGTAATAAGAAGTAAAAAAAGAAAAATAAATGACACAACTATATAAAATATATACATCACAATACCTTAGAATATAGAAATATATATACATTTGCAAATATTTGTGGAAAAGAAATCCAGTAGGGCAACTTTGGCAGCTATGGTCTGTATAAAATATCTATGTATGAATGGTAAAGTACAATATTCATAATAATATTGAAGTACACAGTATATGCTATGAGAACTATATGTAATATACTATATAATATATATATAATATTATACAATAATAATACTGTGAAATATATATAATAGAAATGGATAGAGTACTATTATCATGCATATAATATGAAAATACAATAACAAGTAATATAGTATTATGATACAGTGATATAAATTATAGAATGCACTGTAGTATAGTGTTGTCACTACTACTCCCATGGTAACAATGACAGTAATATGTAATTGATGATGTTTAGAGTGTAGGAGGAGTTGTTTCGGATGGAGTTGGGACAGACACACTGCTCTCTGGCGGCACCTGTTACTTCATGATGACATCATTGGAAGCAAAAAACATCCCATTGACGATCTGGATAACCTTCCCCCTGAGCAGGAGAGGCTGTATGGCGATGAAAGCAATAGAGAAATGAACACAGTTCTTGTAATCATGCTTCTAGGCCTGTTCCTATACTATTCAACAATAGGGAGACCGTAGATCACCAGGTAGATGTTCTGTAGCAGCAGTTTCTCATACAGTAGCTCTTGGCTGTGTGTTTGTATTCGCAATAATCAAAGGAAGCACAGTGATAAATGATGTAAGTACGTATTCATGACCTCAGTGTCCCACCTCCAGCCCTTGCACACATAGAGTGTAATGTTCAATGCTTTGCTTATCACACACACACCCCCTTGCACTCCCCCTGGACTGTACGTCCCTCACTCTTTGAAGCTAGACTGCGGCTGCATCCATACATTTTACCTTCCAGACAGCAGGGCCCCTCGCTGATGTCAGGGTTGTCGACTGTGTACTGTGTACACACTGTGGGGCTCATGATGCAACCCAGCTCTCATATGAATAGTTAATATTTAACAGAGGAAAACAGGGGTCATCACCCTATGTGCAGAGCAGTTCTCAGCTCATACAGTACTCCCACTTTAATCTGCAAGAGGCTATGCATCACCATTCAGCCACTTGTTTTCTTGCATTGTGCGTGTGTGTAGATCAGAAGTTAGAGGAGTATTGTTGCAACACAGACCTTTCTTGCAGGATGCTGAATGGAATTATGTTTCACTGTAAAATGATTGTATTTATCCGTAAGAGGCAACATATTAAGTTGAGTTGAGGTAGCATTTTTTAGATATTCTTTTTAGATTTACAGTGACTCAATCTATGCTGCTCGATTTCATTTTTAGCAACAGCTGTTTGTTTTCTAGTGATTTGACATGCATCTATTCATGTATAGCACCTACACGTACCCACTACTGAAAAATAAAAAATAAAACAAAACCTTAAAAATTGTAAGTCATATTTCTCTATCAATCCCATATGTAAACTGGGTCATCTTGTCTTCTTGTTTAAAAATAAACCCGCCATGCAACAATAACAGAGACCAGCCCTGGCCTCAGCAGGTAACTCCAGGTCATGTCACTCTGTCCTGACTCAGAACTTCATTAGACATATTCAGGGAAAATCAATATGCATTAGTCATTTTTTAACTGTGGTTTATGATTGCTCCAGTGGCAATCAGATGCAAACTTCAATGACTCTCCTCTAAGTAAAGTCAACTTCATATTCAGTTTAAATGGAGCTTAAAGTTGAGTTAAACATATTTATTGCAGAAAAGCACAGACAATGCATAATAAGTATTCCAACAGTTAGTCTTTTGTTAAGTCATTTAATTTCCATGTTTATGCTGACAACACATTTAAGCTGATGATAATATCAAAACCAACCAATGACATTTGAATCTAGTTGAATTTAACCAGCGTTCAGCACTCAGCAGGAGGAAACGGCATCATTCATGCAGATATTGATCAGATGAACAGGTTAATCATTGACCTGATTCTAGACAGTGTATAAAGCCCATAATCCACACTCAGTGGCTCTTCGTCCAGTCACACCGGAGAGAGAGGGCTGCCAGTTGTTCCTCTTACATCACTGACACACAGCTGGAGAAGCAGCACGGCAACAACATGAGAATTACACTAATTCCCCTCTTGTTTCTCCTGGCTGCTGCCTGTGTCCCTGCCCTCTGTGGCAAAGAGGAGCAGCCTGTCCTCCAGCCCGAGGCCCCAGTTGAAACCCGTTCCCGCTTTGCTGCTCTGGATGATGTGCGCCTCCTGGCCAATGGCCTCCTCCAGCTGGGTCAGAGTCTGCGGGAGTTTGTGCAGAAGACGAAGGGACAGATAAATGACATCTTCCAGAAGCTCAACATTTTTGACCGCTCATTTTACCAACTGTCAGTGCTCGCCAGTGAAATTAAAGAGGAAGAAGAGGAACTGAAAAAGACCACTGTGGTACTGAAGGCCAACAACGAAGAGATCAAGGGCCTGTCTGCTGAGATCAACTCCAAAGTGGACAGCATCCTGCAGGAGAAGGGCCGCCTGCAGAACAAGGTGGAAGGCCTGGAGGAGAAGCTGAGCAGTCTGTCACACGGCCTGGTGATAAGCGAACAGGTGGCAGAGGTCAATGGCCTTAGGGTGAGTGTTAGAAAGGAGACCAGCACTTAGATTGTTTTCTTGTTATTAAAACCTTGACACATGAGCTCCTTCTGGGTGGAATGGCAACTCTTTTCTGCACTGGAAGAAATAAAAAAAAAGCCAACACAAATCTCCATTTCTCATTTTATACTTAGATACCAGGATATGCTTTTTGAATACATAAATACTTAAAGACACTATTTAGTAAAAGGTAGCATATATCTTTATCCTTAACTACTATAATTATGTATTCCCACAATTCCAACTTTCTTCCCTGATTAGGAGGTGATCAACACCCAGGAGCAGAGCATCACAGAGCTCCTGAAGGCTGTGAGGGAGCAGAGTGACCAGCTCAACCACCAGAGGGTTAAGATCAAGATTCTGGAGGAAAAGGTAAACGTTAGGGACTGAAGGAAAATAATTAGACTGACTGAGAGACATCTGATCTCATACATATTAGGCTATAGCATCATCTAATCTAAATCATATATATTTTTAATAAGTGGAATTTGGGGTTGGGTGAAAATATGACTTTACTGTAGCACTTTATTTAAAAAGAGAGAGCGAGTGGGTGGAATATTCATAATTTTTTAAATATTATTTTGAGATTTTGTGGGCAAAAATGTTTCTTTTTTTCTAAAAACAAATATTAATAATTCTCAGGAGAATATTATATTTACAAAATTACATTAAAGTTCCAGCCCTCTTCCCTGCTACAGTCCTTTTCACACAGTCTCCTATTCAGTCAGAGTGGATGGGTTCCACTAAAACGCAGAAATGTGTATTTCTGAATATTATTTTTGCCTACTTTTTGAGTTTTGAACTGTCATCATCATGGCATTGCACTGAATGTGCTGGTAGAAAGAAACTTTAATGAATTTTTGGTGCTGTCCTATATAATTTAGACTTTAAATCTTTGGAGGGTGTAGACTGACAATATTCTCCATATGTCAAAATCCTATCCAAATTTTTAATAACCTCCTGCAGTGCCTCATATATTTGCATTTTCCTTGGTCTTGAGAGGCCCAAAATTTATATTATTACTGTAAAAAATGTTGGAAATCTTCTACTTTTGCAGAATACCAAACCAAAGTTTATTATGTGTGGAATTACTATTTAATCCACAGTACTTCTCCAGAGTCAGTCTGAGGATTGTGTCTGCAAGCTAAAGTGTTTGCCTAACTATTTTCCCCAGCTCACAGCCAACACATTGACCCAAGAGACCATTGAAAGGATGCCTGAAATCTTCAACAGTGAAGCACCAACACTCACACCTTATCTAACCTCAAGCTCCATCAGCACCACCGAAAAAATGAGTAAGATAGATACTGAAAAATTAGGAAATGTTGAGAATGAAAGAGAAACTTTTGTCATGCAGTATATCAGTAAGTTCAGAGGTTATATATTCAATCCTACTGTGTCAATGCTTTTGATTTCAGAATGTGTCCAGACAATTTCCAGCAATTTTCTGCTTCACATTCATGCAGTTTCACACAGTTACTGCAAGGAGCTGCCTCTTACATTCACAGTTTCAGCACTTAGTGAACAATCAATGGTCCTTTACACATTTTTCCTGCTAATGCTGCCGATATGAACTGTTGACCTTCTGGTCACAAGTGTACTGCTCTGTTTCAGATTGCCACTTTGCAGCTATTCTTTATTGAGGGTGGTTTCAAGTTTGACATTAGGTATGTGGTCATTTTTAAATAGATCTGCCATCAGACTGTAGTGAGCTATTCAACAGAGGGGAACAAGTCAGCGGTGTCTATGCCATCAGACCCAACGGAACGGAGCCCTTCATGGCCTTTTGTGACATGAGAAAAGGTACTGAACTGTTTCACTTTACCACAGCACAGGACTACAGTTTATTTTTACAGTTTTATTTTTTAATTGAGGATGACATTTTAATCGTTGTTTAGTCTTTGTTCAAGTCCAACTGTCTATCATACATAACATTGTAATCCTTAATGTAAAGCAGCAGCAGCAGTAGCAATTTTAGATTTGCATTAGTATAAACTTAATACAGCTGTGGGAGAGTGAACGGTAAACAGTGAGGCTGACATCAATGAGATAAAATTACAAACAATAGCGTTGGATTACATGCATGAATCGTTTCCTGTGAATGCTTTATATATATATGAAAGAAATTTGAATCTAGCGTGGCACTGGCAGACTCCGCCACTAACAATGAAAACTAATATATAGATAGATAAATTGTAAATACATTAAATAGCTACTTTTGAAATAAATAAACTATGACTATAAAATCTTATGGATTGTAACTTCAAATGAAGTCATTGAATTTCTTTTTTCTTTTCCACTTAGACCATGGAGCAACAGTCATCCAGCGAAGGAGGGATGGTTCAGTGAATTTTGATCAAATCTGGGAGAAGTATGAAAATGGGTTTGGAGATTTTCAAGGTGAGACACTATTCTCTTTTCAAGTCTCTAAGCGCCATTACCATTATCTATTGTCCACTCTCAACTACCAGATTCGAAATGACTTGGCATGTATCAGGATCATAACATTTGTAATTGTATAACTTCTATGTAAAAGCATGCGCATCTGCTTGTAAGTTTGTGTGCATCACATCTCAAAGGTGCTTGTCAAATCATGTCAGCTCTGACCTCTGAATGATGTCTCTCTCACAGGGGAGTTTTGGCTGGGTCTCAGAAAAATCCACTCTCTAGCCGCTCAGGGCAACTCTGTCCTTCACATACAGCTGGAAGACTGGAGACAGGTCAGACACTTCATCAAATACAGATTTTACCTTAATGGTCCAGACAGCAATTACACCATTCACCTCACACATCTGTCTGGAGATTTGCCGGACCCCATGATCAACCACACAGGCATGATGTTCTCCACTAAGGACAGGGATAATGACAACCACCCAGACTCCAACTGTGCCCACAACTACACAGGTGCATGTTTATCCTCTTGTAATGCAAAGCTGGGACAGGGATTAATGAATACTTGTCATACAATATCAGCTGCACAACATGTAATTTCTGTCTTCCTACAGGTGGATGGTGGTTCAACGCCTGCGGAGATGCCAACCTGAATGGGAGATATTTCCACATGAGACCTAAGGGGCGTTCAGAGCGTAGAAGAGGGATTCAATGGAGGCCAGGCCATAAGGCTTCGTACTCCCTTAAACTCACCCAGATCTCTGTCCAGCCTGTGGCTTCCCCCAGCACCACCTCCTCCACCTCTTCAGCTTCCTCTGAGACAGGTGTCTTACAGTGATCCAGTACCAACATTCTTGAGGAAAAATACTGCATTAAACAGTAGCCTATTCAGGAGAGCCTTGGCAATGCTTCATGTGGGCAGGCATGGTTTAAGAAGGCTTGGGCAGAGAAGAAGATGTTTCTTCCAAGTGTCAAATGCTGTTGTGTCCTAAACAAAGAAAGCCAAAAGAATGTATTACTGTCTGTGCCAGTATACTCTCTAATGTAATAGAACACTTTTAAATGCAGTTAGAAGTAAGTATAAACTCTATGTACGTTCACTGTGTCTCAGAGGTCAGAGGTTATGGAGAAAAAATTAAAACATACAGCCATATATGAGCAGTTTTTATGTTGGGTCACATTGACTCTCAGTAAACAGCAGATCACCACAGATATCTAAGGGCTACCTGAGTAGACATTGCTTGATTTTGAGGGTTCAAAAGGCAATAAAAGTTGGGAACCACTGCTGCAGATAACACTCATCTTTACTTTATACTTTATTTTTGATACATTTGCTGTGTTTTATCAAATTAAATAAATGAAAGTTTGATGGTGACTTTATATAATGCTAGTGTTCATTAAGGTGTGGATATCTGTAACTGAAAATATCAACACCCTGTTTTTTTCCTGATTAAACCCTAACCGACCAAGACTAACTCATATAATGTCCTCTTTGTTATTATGGGCTGTAGTTACCCAGGTCCTGACATTGGTCAGGCACAGAATGAACCTTTATGTCAACAGAGATTTGGCCCAGAGTAATATCATCCTTGAACTAAAAACACTAACTTTGTTTTGATGTCATAGTCTAGTAAATTAATGACTTACACATGTTCACGATATTACTACATACTGAAATTTTCAAAATGTTGCAGGTTGTGATGCCAAACTATTTTGTACTGTGTTTTTAGAAGCCCTTTATAAACTCTAGAGGGCAGTGTTGTTCCGTCTCATGTAGATACATTCCACTCTGATTTGATTGTACTGCATGTATAATTAGATTTGACAAATTGTTTGTTTGGTAAACAGATACTTTCTTAAAACCACATCTACATTCAGCATGTGCTTCTAATGACTCGCAAATTGCTCCTTTCACTCTCTGTTCACACACTCAGCTCTAAGAACGGGTAAATATCCCCTTCCTAAAATAGCGCTAAGTGCATCTTTGATGAGAGAGGTCCTCCTTCTTTTTGCATACCATTACTCTGAGCACAGCTGCAGCCTTTCACAGATGGACAAATTGCTCCCATAACACCTCAGTACTTCCACATAGACACACCCAAACACACACACTTCTTTGTGACTGGGCCTGCAGCCTTGACAGTGATCTCCCTGCACATGTGTGAAGGAGCGTCTTCAGTTACTCCCCCTGCCTCTGCACACACATTGGTTTGAAAGGTTATTTTGAGCTTCAAAAGTACCACTGTAACCCTGTGCTTCCAGTGAAATAATAGGAGGAGTCAAGATTTTACCCTCCCATTCTGCCCCCGTGTACCATTCCCCATGTCAACTGACTGGGGATTTCCTTCTAAACAGCAGGTTCCCCAGTTCTCTACGCTGTTGCAGTAGGTTGGATTCTCACTTTGAAACAATGGACAACAGTCCCCTGCAGGTGTTGACTGTTCCTACTGCCCCCTACCCTGACCAGAGACCCGGCACCAACGGCCTGAGGAAAAAGGTCCGTGTGTTTCAGTCCAGGAGGAACTACCTACACAACTTCATCCAGAGTATCTTCTCCTCCATTGACCTACGTGACCGCCAGGGATCAACAGTGGTGGTGGGGGGAGACGGTCGCTTCTTCAACCGAACAGCTATTGAGGTCATTGTGCAGATGGCAGCTGCCAACGGGGTCAGTGTCACCGTGTGAGGGTGTTTGTTTGTGTGTGGATGCTAGTAAGTGTGTGTTTGTGTTTGAGCACATATATCAGTGTCACCTGCCCCCATGACCTGTTATTACCTCTTTGTTGTCATGGGTTGTACCAGCTCAACTGCAGCGTTTGACAAATGGTTTTAATTAAAGGGGGGGAATAACTAGATCATTAAATATGATAATATATAATGTATTATAGATCAGATAAGTTAAAGGTACAATCATTGCTTTTAATCTTATTATTTATTGGTGGTGTTTTTGTGTGCATGTAAAGCACTTTGTAAACATTGTTTCTATATAAATAAAGTTATGGTTATTATCATTATTATTATTATTGTGATTAGTATGGTTATGATTATGATTATTATGATTTTGATTATTATTATTAAAATGAAACAATTTAAATGTCTTGAGCTGGATTGTTTTGTCAAAACACTGCTTATGTATTTCTACGATCAAGAATTAACTTTCTCCTTAGAAGGTAACATTTGGTTGGTGTGGTTGATATTTTTATTATCCTTCAGACAAAAGTATACAGTACAAAATAAACTACACAGTTTACACCACTTTTAATGTTAGAAAAGCTTTTTTAATTAAATAATAAGTATTTAACACGTGTTGCCTTTTTGAATTGAATATTCAGATGGAACTGCATTGGAACTGGTTATTGGTTATTGGTTATTGGTTATTATTATTATTATTATTATTATTATTATTATTATAGCATTCAATTACAGTTGCAATTAGCAATTGGCAGTAGTTTTGCCGATGCTTTTATCAACTTTAAATATATGGCCAAGTATAAATAGTTGTAATTAACCATTAAAGTCATAAGCAATGCAAGACAGTGAGAGAAGACAGTATAATGCATTACACAAAACAATATACAATGACAATACTACACTAATACTATAATGCCATTCAACACCAAAGCAATGTAACACTGAGAAATGAAAGGATAGATTCTGCCTTTCAGCCATAAAACCAGCTCACCACTGCAGTAACTGCAGCTTCTGGCCACTCTTCTGTTTTCAAGTTATAACCTGTTTTGTTTTCTACCCTCTTGCCAGCACCAGTAATGAGCTCTCTGTGGTTGTTGGGCTTAAATTACAGAACGTTGAGCTTCTGATCCTTTCTTGGTCGGAGGGTATACTTAGAGGGATCTAAAATACACTTACACATAATAAAACCTGTTGCTGATGTGCCGTAACTGTTGTTCATTTAATGAAATTCTATTCCTAGTCACTTTTAGGAAGAAGCATGACACACCAAACCTGATATTCAGTGGCATTTCCTCCCCTCCCCCACTCAGATAAATTAAGATACACACTCATGCCAGCCAACTCACACACACACCTGTGTGACATTTCCTCAGGTGGGTCGTCTGATCATTGGACACCATGGGATAATGTCCACACCAGCCATCTCCTGCGTGATCAGGAAATACAAAGCCATCGGTGGCATCATCCTCACTGCCAGCCACAACCCCGGTGGACCAGATGGAGACTTTGGCATTAAGTTCAATACTGCAAATGGAGGTATGGTAACTGGAGATTAGGAAGCATGCAGGGGCATCGGCCAAGTGAAAAATAGTGTTACGAGAGGAGTGAGATGGACATTTAACAAGGTTGAACAAGCCCTCATTCAGATACAGACAGAGTACTGAGATGCAGCTTGGGGCTTGTCTAGACATGAAAAAAAAAAAAGATCTGCATGGTTTTACCAATAAATATACCAAAAAACCCTGAACATCGTCACTAGTATACTGAATGCGCATAGCTGTGGTTCTATTGTACATCACTACATTCAAATGTAATATCAGAGATTTCCTACTGTATCCAGGCCCAGCCAAGGAGGCTGTCACAAACAAGATCTTTCAGATCAGCAGGACCATTGAGGAGTTTGCCATCTGCCCTGGGCTGAAAGTGGATCTGACAACCCTGGGCAAACAGATGTTTGATCTGGAGAACAAGTTCAAACCCTTCACAGGTGAAGTGCAGCGTCAGTCTGTCACCCATCACTTCAAATTAAGAGAAGATAGAGACAATGAGAGAAAAGGATGGATATATGGATGCTAAAGCAGTAAAAAAAATTATGTTATTTTGCTACATTTATATATTAAAAAAACAATGTAATATCTGACTTACTTCATTTTTGTCATTCTTCAGTGATCATATTCATGATGGCATGTAAATGTATAGATTAAAAATACAGTTTTGTTTCTCATCTGTGGTGATGTCCAGTGGAAATTGTGGACTCTGTGGAATCCTACGCTAACTTGTTGAGGAACATCTTTGACTTTGCTGCTCTCAAGGAGCTTCTATCTGGTGAAAACCACATCAAGATAAGACTAGATGCAATGCATGGAGGTGAGAGAACATTTACCAAAAGCACGTGATATCATCAATATATTCTCTGTTAGTCTGAAAACAAATGACAGAAAGATGATCCTGTTGAAGCATGCACATTTTTCCTCAAAAGATTTTAGAGTTAGAGTTAAGTGCTGAGATGTGTCCTTACTGTGTACCTCTCATTGACTAAAAAAGGCAGTGCATTCAGATTCAGACTCAGTATGACCTGTTTTTTAGGTTCTCTAGAAAATGTTTGTGATGCTTATGTTCTTCAAATGTTTACATGAGGTCAAATGTGACAGACAGGTCAAGCCAGAAGTCAGTACACAAGAATCAGTTTGGCCTCTCAGTTACCAAAACATCCATCATGCATAATGTGTTGTTGGTCCATTGATCAATCATGATGCTATCCAAATCCAAACCCTTATATACATAACGGTTGTTCTTAGCATCATTATAACATTGGAGCGGTGGCATGTGGTAGGAACTGTTGACTGCAGAACATTTCATAATGGTTAGGTTGCTCAAGCTGTTTAGAGAGTCTGCAAACACTGAAGCTAATGGTTAAACAGTCACCACACCCCCCACACCACTCCTTACACCCACTCTAAACGCAACAACACAATATAATCCGTGTAACAGGAAGTGATGACGAGCGTTGTTATTGAAATGGTATTTATTTGACAAGATACTATCTACCCCTATCACTGTGACCTTTACCTTTCTCTCCAGTTCAATCACTCTCAAAACAAGCTACATTATTCAGGTTTGATAACATTTGAGATAGACTGGAACACTAGTTTGAAGAATAGTTTGACATTTTGGGAAGTTTCATCTTTACTGTACAGATATCAGAGTGGAATCAATATTCTCATCTAACTCTTGGCAAGAAAGCAAATAAATGTATTAACCACTGTTGCTTTAAACAGAGTAACACCAGCTGGCCTTTTTTTTAATGTTTAAAAAGCCAATCATGCTACTTTGTATAACACCATATTTGACTTCAGCAGTTCATCATTGTCTTTAAACCAGTCTTCTCTCATTACTCTATGTGACCTCTGTCTGCTCCCCCAGTGGTAGGACCATATGTGAGGAGAATACTCTGTGAGGAGCTCGGCTGCCCTGCCAATTCTGCCATCAACTGTGTCCCATTGGAGGACTTCGGAGGTCAACACCCAGATCCTAACCTCACTTACGCTGCAGATCTGGTTGACAGCATGAGAGACGGACAATATGATTTTGGTGCAGCATTTGATGGTGATGGGGTGAGTGCACTATTTGTCTCTTTCTTCAGTTTTTGTAAAATTAAATCAAATACATTTCTAACTGGACATAAAGGATCTTTCACATTCTCATCCAGAAGGATCCTGGGGCTGAACAGAAGGCCTTGAATTCTAATCTCTGTCTGTCTGTCTGTCTGTCTGTCTGTCTGTCTGTCTGTCTGTCTGTCTGTCTTGTAGGACCGTAACATGATCCTTGGTAAGCACGGCTTCTTCGTCACCCCACCTGACTCTGTGGCTGTGATCGCTGACAACATCTTCTGCATCCCGTACTTCCAGCATACAGGGGTGAGAGGCTTCGCCCGCAGCATGCCTACAAGCGCAGCCTTAGACAGGTAAAAAAACACAGCCTGGTTTTCACATCACTGCCAAAACCAATGAGCCAGTGATTTTACAAGGAAGCCATGTCAAACTTACAGTTCTTTTGGTGTAAATAGATCTTTCAATAAGATTTAAACATACAAAAGAACACATTGATAATGACAAGAATCATGTTATGTTATTTCAGGGTTTCACTTCTGTTGTTTCTAAGGTTCACTGTGCTTTCTTAGAATACTCAACATTCATTTTATATCCTGCAGAGTAGCCAAGGCAACAAAAATAGAGTTATATGAAACTCCCACTGGGTGGAAGTTCTTTGGGAACCTAATGGATGCAGGCAGACTGTCTTTGTGTGGAGAGGAAAGCTTTGGTACAGGTACTGTACCTCTTCAGCAAGTTATTAGATCTAAAGATGTTCATTCTCAATTGAAATAGTGAGGGGGGAATAAGACTCATGTTTTAATTTGTTTTTTTCTGTGCATGGGAAACTTAATTATATATCCTCTTTCAGGTGGAGACCATATTCGTGAGAAGGATGGACTTTGGGCCGTGCTGGTATGGCTGTCTATCCTGGCCACTAGAGGGCAGAGTGTGGAGGACATTCTTAAGGACCATTGGCTAAAATATGGAAGAAACTACTTCACAAGGTGAGATTTGTTTGACAGAGTTGTACTCCATTATCGTCATCATCATTATCATCATCATCAGATGAACCAAAAACAGAAAAAGTTAAAAAAGAGCAAGTAAAAGATAGTGGAAGAATTATTTCTATGTATAAGTAGTGTCCATTGTTTAGCTGGTACAGATGGCACGGATATAGGTGAGTGGATGACACAGACATTAAAAAAATACATACAGAACATCACTGACATCTAGTGGAACTTATGTGCCATTACATATTGTTTCAGGTCTTGCACTGTCCAATAAATGAAAATGTACAATAATGATCAGAATGGTCTGAGACTCTGATAACTATTATCCAGTGCAAATTCTTAATCTGCCTATGTTGACATCAGTATCTACTGTAACCAGAGATATTATCAGCTTGAGGCTGGTAGTATCTGTCCATTGTATTAAATAAGAAAATAATAACTGACAACCCTGTCATGTTATAAAGATTTGTTCTGCTCACTTACAGTAGTAACAAATATTATAAAAACACTACGTTGGCAAAAGGATTTACATCTGGTGGGTATTGTGGCTGCTTTATGCAAAACGATTTAGTAAAATTTACTTTACAAACAAACAATAATAAACACTTATTCTGTGATTAATAGTTGTTGTTCTTTGCCCAGATATGACTATGAAAATGTAGACATAGATGCAGCCTGTGAGATGATGGAGGATTTGGAGATTATGATAGCTGACAAGTCCTTCGTGAAGCAGAGATTTGCTGTGGAAGACAAAATCTACCAAGTGGAAAAGGCAGACAACTTTGAGTACACAGACCCAGTAGACAGCACCATCACCAGGAACCAGGTACATGGCACACACTGAGCTCTATTCCTGTAAGGTTTTTATGTGCATGTATCCAGTAGTTACTAGGTATTTGGATTCACTCAGTGTTGGAACCACTCAGCTGTGCCTGCAGATCCTCAAAGCTTCACATAGTCTGTACTGGGCTCTTTTCACTGCAGGGTCTGCGGATAATGTTCTCTGATGGTTCTCGAATCATCTACAGACTCAGTGGGACAGGTAGTGATGGGGCAACAGTTCGAATCTACATAGACAGCTATGAGAAGGAGCAAGTCTTTGAAGACACACAGGTAAAATATCTAACTCTGTTAGATAATCTCTGGTCTAATTTGGTCAAAATAGCTGACACATATCTGAATCCACAATAATGAAAAACAAAGTCTTTTGATTTGCATAAAACATGTTTTGCACTATATGAAGTGTTGACAGTGCTTTGTGGTTGAGAAGAACAGGACAGGCATAACCTCAAATATAAGGCCCAATTCAACCATCAACCATAGATATTCAAGAAAAAAAATCCTGATTGGAACATTTAGACATTAAATATCTCTAAGTTACCATAGTACTAAACAGAACATGTCTGCTTAGAAAAAGTATTTATGAGGAGATGCATCATTGGTGTATGGCAGCCAAGTGCTTGAGTCTCCAACCGTATCATGCTTGTTTGGGACAGGTGATGCTGGCACCCCTGGCAACCATTGCTCTCAAGATTTCCCAGCTCCATCACAGGACAGGTCGAAGTGGCCCATCAGTCATCACATGATTCCTCCCTCCATTATTGCTCAACTATTGCCATTCTTGTTTTTCTTTCCAGATTTTTGTATAAATTGAGCTTCAGTTCCAAGTGTAGCTGCACAACATGTATAAGTTTGCATTTTAGGCTTAATTGTATTCAGTGATTCTCTCTTTACCACATTAAACTGCTTTTTATTTTTGGTCATGAGTGCCTTGTGTGTCTATCTCATATATTGTAGTAGCACATTTCACTATTTCCCTTTTGTTATGTATAGTTGTTCCAATTGTAATTTATACCAATGAGTCACTCGCAAAAAAGCAGCAGGGTTTCAAAATCATCAGCACTCCTAGTGATCAAAACAACCAATCATGACATAATGTCATCCTATTAAACGCAGCATGTGGCTCTAAAACAAGTTTCATTTCCTCTGCCAACGTCTTTTCTAACACAGTTTTCTCATGTTGTTGTGGTAAATTGTGGCTGTGCACACTCAGGAAGTCAGTTTTATGGTTCTGTGAAGGCAGTGCCGAGGACTGTTGAGAGGTTGATTTTGAAGTGCCCATGCAGCCACTGCTCATTTTCAAAGTAAAGAACTGGGTGTTTACTGCCACGAAGCCTCAAATTATTATTTGGATCATCTGTACTCCATCATCAGGGAAATTAAAACTCATCGGTGAATAACAACCTGAAACTGCAGTCACAATCTTGAGCAAGACACAAGCACAGACACTGTTAAGACCTCAGATGTACAAATCCAGGGGTGAGAGGAGCAACAATTGAATAAACCCAAGATAGAAGAAAGACAGAATTCTATGTACAAACAAAATATTTATTAATAGTATAACTGTTTTACTTACAAATGAAAAACTCAACGCTCCAACAGAAATCAGCTTTCTTCAAATAAAAAGCAAAAATAACTATAACTAATATTATCATTAACACAAAAACCATGAATTAAGCAGATAAACACTAAAGGAACAGTACAGCACAACACAACTCTGATTCGCCGTTTGGATCACTGGCCCCATCTGCTTGCTGTTGCCCTTGTTTTTAAGCCATTTGGACTGATATATGAATTAATGGCAGGTGCGCCTGACCAGTCTGAGGGGACGGTGGGACCTGGAACAGCACACACAGAGAACAAGGCAGTACAAAATACTATACTCAACAGACACAAAAGAAGTTTGTTAATATTTTACATTTATTTTTATAATATTACTACAACTTATTTACTACAGGAGACATTTAAGCTAATAGGAAACACTTTAAGTGGGACTTATCAGGCTCTGGCTACAGGATTTCCATGTGGACACAAACAGCATCAGTCCGCTAACATCTGGTCCAGCTCTGTGATCACTCATGCCCTTTGAAGTACTGCACCTATCTTCTGGTTTCATCTCCATATAACACCAAACCTGAAGCCCAACAAGTCAAGATCTTTATTGTCATATGCACAACAATTACAGTGAAGCAGTCATTGGCAATGAAGTTCTTAGATCAACAGTGCTCTTACAGATATGTATAAAAACAATATAGATCAAGTAAGAAAATAAGAGGGAGGCACACTGAGCTCTGGTTCATCTGAGGTCATCTTATTGTGGGTTTTATTTCCAGTAAAATGTTCAGTGGAAGTAAGGTTAGAGATTGTACCAATGTGTGAACAAAGAAATCACTAACATTGCTCAACATTCCTCAATGATCTTAAATAACAGACATATAAAAACAGTTTTGTGTTAATGGAAGAAGAAATTAAATAAAGGTTACCACAATTTAGATCAGACCTTTTCATTACAGACATTTGGACTTGTCATAGTAGGAAAAGAGCATGTGTTAGAAATAACAATAACAATGGCTCTGTGTCCCAATATGACAGTGATCCTGTATGTACAATACCAGGACCCTGAAACTGAACCTAACTTCAAAGACTTTAAAACAAATATATGAAAACCATTGAAAAACTGAGTGATTCAAGTAGAATGTTAAGTTATAACACAGTGTCTAATACTACAAATAGTGTATAATAGTATTGTGTATTATAATAATACATAACAATACATATGGCACACAGTGGTGGAGGAATATTCAGATCCTAACTGGCTGGTTGAGCTATGAATATGCTCCTGTTGGGTAGGTTAACATATAGAGGAGCATTATATCTATAAGATGATCTTATGTTCAATGAGAAACCTAGTCTGAAGTGGCCAGTGTCCTCTTCTTTGCGGTGGTCTGTTGGGGGGAGGCATCGGCGATGGGGGTGCCAACGAGCATAGCAAGATGGTGAGGAAGGCCAGCTCGGTGGTGGGGATGGAGCTGGACACTGTGGAGGCTGTGACTGAGAAGAGGATGAAGGGGAAGCTGAAAGCCATCATGGACAACCCCTCTCATCCTCTCTACACTGAGCTCAGGCAGCTCAGGAGCACGTTCAGCCACAGACTGACCCAGCCCCGAGCCTCAAAGCGGTTTGGAGGCTTGTTTGTAGCATCTGCCATCAGACTCCACAACGCCACAGCACCTAGTACCACCAACCCCCGCAGACCAAGACTGGTTTAAACTCCAACCTACAACGCACAGGCCTTTTGCACTATTTATATTTAATTTCCATTTTAGTAGTTTTAGTTTAGTTTTAGTTTTTTGTTTTAGTCAAGTTTAATTTTCTGCTTATATTTTGCACTTCATGTCCTAATTGAACAATGCATAGTGTATATACTTTAATTTATAGTTTTATATCTTCTAATATTAATACTATTAGTAATATTTTTATTGTGATATTCTTTGTTATCTGTTTTTGCACTACTTTGCCCTATTGCTGCTGTGTCAACCTGAATTTCTCCTAAGGGGGATAAATAAAGGAATATCTTCTCTTATCTCTTAATCAGCAAAGAAACTACTTGTGTAACTAGAGTGATCAGATAAAGGTAGTGGAGTAGTTGAAGTAAAGCTCTATTTCAAATGTAGGAGAGTAGAAGTATGAAGTAGCATACAGTGGAAATACTTACGCACTTAGTACAAGTACGTTAAGATTGTAATTAGCTACAGTATTTAAATAACACTACATAACACGTGGGTGTTAATCAAGCCCCCAGAACAGCACTGCATAGTCGCGTGCTCCTCGTCACGAGGGATGGCAGCAACCACGTTAGCAAACTCTATAAATCGACCAAAAAAAAGGAATTAATCTGCTCACAAGCGGATGATGGTGATGGTGATGATGATGATGATGATGATGATGTTCAGGTGTGTGTTCAGGTTAAGTTCACAGCTGCTGAGTTACTGTCGCTTTAAGAAAGTCATGTGACCAAGAAGGAAACCCCCGATGGAGGAAGCAGGAAGTTGGTTTACCAAGAAGGAGAGCACATAAACAAAACACAAAGAACTGAATAAAAACTCAAGAAGAAGGTTTCACGCATTCATCGCAATGGCCGGCATTAAAGGTATTTTATGTGTTACGTGCACGAGTCAGTTGGCAGTTACGTTCATTAAGTTACGCAGACGCTCTTCTGTTGCGTCAGAGCTTCAAAAACTTTGTTAGCTTAGTTTTCAACATTTCTGAAAACGTTTGCTGAATCATTTCGAAAGCTATCACCACACATAACACTGTCTAAGGATAGTAAGATTCGTTAGATCCATTTTTAAGTTATTAACTTGTTTTAAGTTGTAATTTATTGCTAATTTTTTTTCTTACAGTTAAATTGTCTTAAATGTTGACTTAGCATACAAACAAATGTCATAGTGTTAGAAGCCTGGCGTATTTCTCTTTTGTCTCTCACTGTAACTTTGGACAAAAGCATCTTTGCCGATATAATATAATATTATGTAATGTAATGTTTGTGTTCTTTCAGCACTGGTTGGTTTGTCCTTCACTGGTGCCATTGGATTAACATTTCTTCTACTGGGTTGTGCACTGGAACAATACGGGTAGGTTATTTGTTATAAGTTAGTATTTATGTTATTGTGTGACACAGGCTTAACATTGAGGATAAAAGGATAGGATGTTTTTTCCAGCGAAATCGCGGTTGGTTAGAGAGATATGAACAACAGCAAGAACAAAAATACCCTTAAAGGAGTACTCTAGCAATTTAGTATTACACTTGTCACGAAGTTGAGGGACTTTTAAGAACCAGATTTAAAAAGAATCGTCAAAATGAGTGCCACAGAGGCCTAGAAATGTAATCTCTAGTATGGGTCAAGCTCCAGAAATGCTGAATTCTACAATTTCCATAATGCAACTCAATAGCCTCTTTCATTAGAGCCCCCCACCTTCTAAATGCCCACTTCTTTTAAACCCCACGCTCCTAGTTTTTCAGATTTATGACATCTCCTCCAGAGTCGCACAAGACATACAATGTTTTTTTACAGGCAAAGTAAACTTTTTTTCTCATGACATGTTAACTGAGCTTAGTTTGTAAAATGTTTAGTTCTGTTGTGAATAATTAAATACTGTTGCAAACTCATGCCATCGTATGTCATAAATATGGACCATCACTTTAACTGTTCCACACCTGTTTCTGCAGGGTATACTGGCCGCTGTTTGTCCTGATTTTCTACATTTTAAGTCCCATCCCGACCTTCATATCCAGACGCGTCAGTGATGACACCGACTCCTCCAGCAATGCATGCAGAGAGCTGGCCTACTTCTTAACAACTGGCATCGTGGTATCATCTTTTGGGCTTCCCATTGTGCTAGCCCGCAATACCACAGTGAGTTCTCTCTACCCATGATGAAATATTTTCTATACACACACACACACACACACACTCATATATATATAAATATATACCGTTTTATTTGTGTCTGTAGATATGTCTGTGCTGTCTGCACCACATCAGTTGTTGGTGTATCCGTACTTGCACTGTATCTTGAGAGAACGACTAGAAGACTATGGATTTCTTCCGGTCAAAAGTTTTGATTCAGTATAAATATTATTCTCCTACAGATCCAGTGGGGCGCCTGTGGTCTGGTGATGACAGGCAACGCTGTCATCTTTCTCACCATTCTTGGCTTTTTTGTTGTGTTTGGAGGTGGAGACGACTTCAGCTGGGAGCAGTGGTAGAGTGCCTGTAGACAGTGGACAGATGGACAGATGGATGGTTGGGTAGGTGGATAGTTGAACGGATAGACTGCAGACTAAGGGGCACAAATGTCCTGCACTCAATGGGGGATGATGCTCATGTACAGTATAGGCTGTAAAATGTCAGATTTACTGGGCATGTTTTCAGGCCGATTGTTATATTAGGAGGTATTAGGGTTGGAAGCAACACTATGTACCCTATTAATGTGCCTTATGTGTGGGACCAGAGAGACACTGATGCCTATACCCCTCTTATGCTGTAACCCTATCACTATCCACCATAACCCATATATTTTAGCTTGTCTCGCCTCTCTTTCAACCCCCAAATCACTCTGCGCATTGCAGCTGCCTGCTATTTCATTATGCTTCAATTAATTAATATCATAAAGGGATCCTAAAGAGTAACTCTATTGTAATATACACTGCAATGCTCACCGCATTATCTGTCCTCATTGTTCAAGGGGAACTGGCTCTACTGAATTATGGCTTGCTTACTATTAAGAGCACTGTTTGCTGTCTAAATTGTAAAGGCAGGCTAAGTTACCTTAATCTATGCTATCTGACAACAAGTTGTAGGAATCCTAATCAGGTAAAGATCTATTTGTATGGAGGTAATGTGTTTTTGTGTTTTCATTATGCTACAAGCCTTTAAAGCCTTACTTTTTGTTCTGGTGCAATTGTTTACATTCTCACCAAAGATCATTTTAGATTGCAAAAATGGAGCATATTCATCACTGAACTGCATTTTGATCTGTGCTTTGCAGCAATATGATCCTCAAAAGCAAGCTGAGGCACTCGACAAAGCTGTTTAGTGAATATCAAACATCTAAGAATTTATGTTCAGTTATCAGGCCTGAGAAAGCACCCACATCCATTCTATATTTATGCAGACGACAAACAAATTCATACTATCGACATGAGCTTGATATTAATTTGTGAATCATATTTTTTACACGTTGAATGGTAAATACAGTACATGTATGTTGTTTTTGTCCTAAAGGAGAGGGCTCTACCTGCAAACTCATAAGTGCCTGTCATTCACAGTATATATTTTGATTAATAGAGAAATCACTGTGATTCATTTTTGAGTAAGTTTTTTGTGTTACATCATCAGGGGCCATTGAAATATGTAATTGTGAATCAATATTACATACTCATGTTCTATTTTGTCATAATCAAAAACTGACTCTTAATAAGGTTCTGTAGTTTGTATGATTATCCCACTTCATAGAGACTATCACAGAAAAACATCTAGTTCATGTCCCATACAATTTCTTATCTCCTAATTCTTTAACTGCTTTACAAGGGAAACTATTATATTGTATATTTCACAACTGACATTTTCAATAAAGAAAGTTTGTTCTTTCTATTGTGACTCCCATATCCACACTTTGAAAACACTAATGAGTGCTGAATAGCTCTCAAAGGTTATTTTATAAGCTCCTGACTGCATTTTGTTTTCTAACACTGATTAAAACTCTCTGTATAAACAAATGTACAGGCTCTGTCTTACTGCTGGTGGTGTGATGAGAATCTCACAGTGGTCGGTGAACTGGATGGAGAGCTTGATTTGACTAGTGCAAAGCTTGCCTCTGGGCAGTGCTGATGGATGATGCATTCAGACACCTGTACACTATTTATACAGTATAGCAGCAATAGTGACTGTAGCAAACCTCTGTAACGGCCTCCCACAAAACAGAGACTGGAAAAGAAGGAGAGGTGGTGTGTGGGTGAGTGTTAGGTACATTTCTGTCTGGCCAGACTATGCAAGTAAACCATAGGCCTGACTGACAGAAATACAGGTGTGAAAGCCGCTTAATAATTTAGATATTTTGCAATATTCATAAAGCAGCATGTAAAACAGCTCCATTCCTAGAAGATTGTAATTTGCCCTTTCCAAACACAAACATTAATACTGAATACAGATCAGCAGCATTGCCAGCAGTGAGCAAGCTGCATGACAAACAAATGATAAAAATCGATATTATCTATTCAGGGTTGAATAGGATGTGATAGAAATCAACCATGCACCTGCATACAATTTCAATAGTTTAATGTAATTCTCTTTTCCTGTGTCAGGGATGCACTGAAGCTGCCTCACCAATTTGCGTGTTAAGCTGAGTGCATTTCCTCCACAAACAAAAGAAACCCACACTCACAACACAAATGAATGATTATTTTCATGAAAAACATCTGTGCTTCCCGCCTCCAGTGATTGCATTTCACAATGAGAAGACACAGCATGCATGGACTAACATCCCACAGAGAGGATGGTGGCTGTATCAGCGCTGCTGTGTGGAAAGCACATTTGAGGAACATTTGCAAAGGTGTGTATGTGCAATTCATAATGCAGAAAGAACTGCATGGAAATGTTTAATTGCGTCAAATTTAATAAATAAGTTGAAATCAGAGATTAAAATAAGATTGTCAGCAAAATGTTGCTCTTTGGAGGTTGCCAAAAGGCACAGAAACAGTCACAATATCTGCACAACAGGCAGAAATGCGGCTGTATTGAACATCAAGACAGGTGGGAGATGGAGAGTGACAGAGATTTGGTGCTGATTGAGTTTCTGTTGGATGTTAGCAGACATTGTTCGAATGCTGGGACATCAACATGATGAACGGGGCCAAGCACATGTGTAGAACAGTGCCACAGGAAGGGGTGACACCTTTGCTCCCTGGGGTTTCCAAGCCATGTTTACACTTCTGGGTGAATAAGAAGAGATCCATCAGAATCAGGTGGCAGATCAGACAAGCCATCTGTTGACTACATATTTCATGAAGAAAATCTGGTGATTAGTCACCACTGGCTCAGTTACTTAGGTACAACTGATGTTGAAAGAAACACTGCCCCATATCCTACATCAGTGACATTGAGACCATGTGAATCAGAAGCTTTATTGTATCTTAAAACCCACAACATGCCAACTTAATGGGCTTAAAGTGTTTGCTGAGTGAGGGAAACTGCATTTACACTGAACATAAGTGTCGGTGTGAGTGAGAGACACTGAGAAGAAAAAAAAGATGAAGGTAAAGATGAAAAAATAGAAGGAGCCCAGGGACACCCATTCATCTCTGTTCCAGGACAGCTGTTGCCTGGCAACAGCCAAGGCATCAAAATTATTCTAAAAGACTGCTCAGTCTGGCCTTGAATACTACACAATGCAACACTGCAGAGCAACATCACACTGTGCAACACAGCATATTGTGTGGTAGTTGTGTGATACTGTAATATACATTACATTGCAACCGTGGTAGGTGGCAGCATCAAACACAACAGTCAGTAAAGTGCAGCCACGCGGTTCAGTGCAACACAACACAGATGAACAAGATGAGAACAAACTGAATAATGCAGTGCAACACTACACACGTCACATCACAATGCAATGTGTGATCAGTGATACAATGAAATGCAGCACACTTCAGACTAGCACTAGACAATGCAAGATCCCAGCAAGGCATTTACTATAAAATGAATGCATCAATATTATAATGATATTCTTTCGTTTTAATGACAACATTTTATTATAACTTGCTACTGGAAGAGCTCACTGTACTCTAGCAGTAACCATTGCTCTATCTAAGGAGCTACATGAGCTGCCTACAGTATTAAACTTAACTCACTAAATCATAAGTAGCTCTTTATATACATATATACATATATATCTAAATATAAAATAAGAACTTCCATTGCAGTGGTGTACTGCTATTTAAAGAGACAATCAACTAACACGCAGCAGGGGGTCAATGGATGACAGAGAGCCGGGGGGTTGTAGCCTCATTAAACTGGTGAGGCAGACTCATCCATACTCTCTTATGGCTGGAAATCAAATGGATGCAGAGCTGGGAAAGAAGAGAGGGCGGGCGCGCTGATAGCCATTGGTAAACGGAAGGATTTGCGTCGTCTGTGCCAAAGCCAATCGATGCGCTCTCGTGCTTGGGAAGGGGAACGAGCGCGAACGGGACAAATGGAACCAAATAAAAAGGGGCGCGTGCTTCTGAAGCGCGGCAGAGAAACGGGAGACCGCAGCAGCGCGTGGGACAGCGGATACACCACCGGTTACCACCGGTAACCACAGACTACATACACGTCCGGTGAGAGATACAATTTAAATTTATAGGGGGACAAAAAAGTATTATGTGTTTTGTCGTTATCCTCTCTACACTGGGGTTTAACTACAGCCTATTACCCGCGCGAAGTTTAGTCATATTTGTATCCAGTAAAAGTTGATTATGCTAACAGCCAAGGGACATCGTCGGCACAGAGGCTAGCAAAAAAAAATGATGTTTCACGATTCTCGGGTTGCAGGTTTTCGTCATTTGAGCTGTACGTAAGCGATTTTCGAGGAAACATGACCGTCAGTCAGATATCTTGAGTTGCATTGAAAGGTCTTTTGATTCAGTCATATCACGTAGGCTTCTTGTCTGTACGTAGGCTGTGCTCTTCATCTCTCTCAGGACTTTGCAATGTGGGCATCTTTCATCTCTCTCTCGCTCGATTTGTTTAGTTTTGTCACTACGTATCAAAACTGATAAAGAGCAGCATCATTTCTAATGCCGAGCCTCTGTGGATCCAGCCTACACAAATGTTTGGGGCAATTTAGATAAAGTATGATGATGAGGTCAAGTAAGGTAAAAGCCATACCCGTTTTGTGCTTTCTCTTACTACAGAGAAAGAGACGATAGATGTTCTTTATTGTTCACAAAGGGAAATTCATTTTCCTCATTCAGTTAAGTACTTTGCTAACAGACAAGACAAAACACCACCATACAAAAGAGGATGTGTGGCTCTAAAAGTTAAGATCTTTCCTCCACAGCCACAGGCACCAGTGTCAACAGAGGGGATGAAGCTGGCCCTGCCCCTGTTTGTTTTGAATACAAGGGCATCATATCTCTTGAAAGCTTGTGCTGAGGTTATGTGACCGACCTTACTTGCTTTCTTCACCACCCTCTAGTCATAGAGCTGTTGGAGCTGCAAAGCTTGGACCCCAAGGTGGTCACCCTCTGCAGTTACGCAGGTCTCAGAGAGCCCCCCAGACCAAGGCTCTCTATATGGCAGATGTAAAAGCTGCAGAGCTGAGGCTTTCACTGTGAGGACAGAGAGGCCAGCATCAGATTGCCAGTTTGAAACATGGCCCCCCTCCACCAGTTCCTGGTAGCATCCTTTGGCTTGGGCTATTTCCCTCTTTAATAACAAATGCAAAGTACTCCTGTTCGCTCTGGGCCCAGTAGCGAAGGCTCTGTGCTTTGCTTAAATTGCTATTTTTTCAGGTGAACTGTGAGCCATGGCTTTTTGTTGGGGTAGCACTCAACAGTCTTCATGGGTATTCGCATACACTCATAATATTGGATGTATGAAGTATGTTTAAGTTTGAGACAATTTAGATGTGGGTGGTCAAAAGGGGAATATTTGTTGAAAAGTGCTGGAAAGTCTGGGTAAACCCACATTAACACATAATGGACATACTGTTGATTTGCTCTATAAACCAAAGTGTTTTATACACCATTAAACAATCAATCACTGTCCATTTAACAATGACGTCTGGATTAAATGAGGTCAGCCAAGGCCTTCAGAAGATAAATAGTGCTAGTTAGGCTTTTTATTTTTCCCTAGAGGAGAAATCAACATTATACCTCTGTTGGGAATTGTCTGACTGTCAATATAGAGATTCAACAGGGGTCTTTTTATAGTCTGTGTAAAGGGTCTGATTTGGGATGATTGTAGCAGTTCTTTGGATTTATCATCTTCATTTTAGTTATTTGAGCTGAACCTTTTAAAACTTGGATTACAGCTACCACTGTTTGTCAGATACACAAGAGGTAATTTGGTATGTTTTACATTAAGTGAAGTAATGAATGCAGAAACCCAGTCTGTCCGAGTAGCATAAAAGTGCTCATTGTTTTCTGCATGGCCCATGCAATATTGTGTGTTTGCATAGGTAAAATATGTGTGTTTTTAAATATTAATCAGTCTGAAACAGCTGGGATGGGGATTTGTAGCTGATCAACGTCTTTGGCTTTCATGTCTAAACAGTACAGTATTCACAATAAGTGCTAGATAGTATGAGTTGAAATAAGTGATATTTGTTTTGTAAAACTTGTTTAACATTGTAAATTAAAACTTAATTAATTTTTTTATTCTATGTGTGTGTGTATGCGCGCAGTTCATTTCCGCCTGGGCACATGGACCATGTTATCACCACCCGCCTGTCTCCCCTACGTCCTTCAATATTCCAACTTCCTCTTCTAGGATTTATTATCTGTGGATCTCTGCTATAGGGACTTCTTCTGCCAGCACATCACCTACAGCTTTTATAACTTTGTTGCTCACTCGAAACATCTGCTGGACTGCGCACAGATGTGAAAGGTTACAATCTTGACATTGCTCTCTATTTGAATGTCACCCGCTTTTAAAAATCCAAAACACAAGAATTAAAAAAACACAACACTGATTCATCCCTAGATTATACTTTCAGCATTTAGCCCTTCACAAATCAATGTTTAGAGCTGTACATACACAATGTCTTATATTACACTACTGTAGGTACACTGGCATGACATACTATCATTAGGGATGTGCAATATGAATTTCTTTTAGCCAATGAGATAACTGATAATTTCACTTTTTTGTAATTTAAAGAGACGTTCATAACCTGTAGTTTTTACACACTTGATGGTAAGAAAGCCTAAGATGTAGTGGGCAATGATGGATGAATTAATATTCCATAGCTCTGACCTAACCAAATCTGATATTATTGTTAACACAACTAAAACAACAGTTCAGTCCCTTCAAATTGTTGTTTATTTTTCACAGTCAAGTTCATCAAAAACCTTCACAAACATACTTTGGATTTCATAGAAGATAAAGGCTATCTATAGCTTTGCATAAGAATTCAAAATTAGTTATTATTATGGGCCATTAAGTTATCGGTATATATATATATATAAATGTACCATTATTGGAACGATAATCTATCTGCCCCGATAATCATTGTGCATCCCTATCTATCATTTATACTCCTGACAGAAGTGCTCTTTCCTTTAAGCCCAGTTCATAGCGTTTTTGTAATGCGCCCGGTCATGTGGTGTGAACTCTGGCCACTGTCCTTTTATTCTCAGTCAGTGCTGAAACAACAAGGCACATACATCCAGCTTCTTGTTAAAAGGGCTCTCTGGCTGCCAGACTGATGACTCATTTACTGGCTGCTTGGTGGCTTTACTGGTGATGTGGCTACTATAGTGCCTTTTCTGTTGCTGTACATTGATGTTTCACTTCCAGAAGATGAATACATGCCCTGTCTGTGTGTGTGTGTTTATGTGTTGGATGGTTATCTGAACTATGACAGTAATGCGTTTAGAGAACCATAGCAAATGTGATTCCTAACATCAAGAGGAGGGCTGCAGCAGCTTTTACACTTTTCCTACAACTCTGACCTATCAAAAGTATTTTGTACATCTATTAAGTATTGTTAAATCATGTATATGTGTGTCAGAGGGAAGTGTATTGCCCCTTTAGACATTGTAGCGTTGTCAGGGGTCCTTGTAGTTGATCAGTCACATAGTTTCAGCTGGCTAAAATATTGTCTTTTTTTGCTGTGATATGTGATCTGTGAAATTGTAATCCATACATTGTTTGTCTTTCAGGCTGACAGTCTGCTGACGTGAATTCCCCCTCACTCCCTCACCACTTGCTCAAGGAGAAGAGCTTCAGCTGTAAGTACACTTTTTCTAGTGGCTGAGAGGGAATATTGTGTTCAGTCAGTTTTCTAGTGCATGCCTTATTGCTGACTAAAGCAGTGTATACGAAGAGATTAGTTCTGTATCATGGAGCTATTGGATGGAAAAATTACAGTAAGTCTGCAGTGTTGCACATTCGTCATTTTGAAATAGAATCCTTTTTGTGCATTTGTCCCACTGAACCACTTTCATATTGCATGAATGAATGTAAAGCAGATATTATCAATCAATTAGTTGATTGACAGGAAAAATAATCTGCAACTATTTTAAGAATCAAATAAGGGTGCTCCAGTCAATGTTTGGGACCCATGGTTGGGTCTGTTTGAAGCCTTATATTTATCATGTAGCATTGTTTATTAAACTATTAACAACATATTAAGTATTAAAAACATGAAATGAAAAGTATCATGAATTGACAGCAGTTTATGTGTTAGCAGGCAACATCTGCTTTATTCCACTCTCTATCTGAGACACAGCTTTAAATCATAGCAGCCTGTGCTTGGTTATTGGGAGTAGCTTAACAAATCCCACAGAATGTAGGAGCGAGTATATGTCTGTTTCTAGTAGGTTATTTCCTTTTTTACAGTTTTGGCCTAATTCTCCACCTTATTTTAGTGTTTATTCACAAACTGTTTTTATCTGTGAAGCACATTGGGCTGCATGTTTGAATAAAAGATGCTATTCGAGATATAGATATGACCAAAATTTCATATCCCATATATATATATATATATATATATATATATAAGTAATTTAATTATCCCGATGATCATATTTGATTATTTTTCTCCTTTTATGTAGAACCGTTGTTAGCAATTAAGCGTGAAACAAAATATAAAATATGAATGACTTTACTTGAGAGAGACAGACAGAGAGAGAGAGAGAAAGAGAGAGAATTTTTTTTATGTGGAGACAGCCCATTAACAACAAGCCTCTTCCACACAAGGCTCACCTGCTTTTGTGAATACTGAATCACGGATGAAAAATCCAAAATGTGACAAACTGCTGTAGAGAAACAGAGTGGCAGGGCTGGGCTATCCAGTGTGTGTGTGTGTGTGTGTGTGTGTGTGTGTGTGTGTGTGTGTGTGTGTGTGTGTGTGTGTGTGTGTGTGTGTGTGTGTGTGTGTGTGTGTGTGTGTGTGTGTGTGTGTGTGTGTGTGTTAGGGGGGACATGGTGATTTAAGTAGTTTGTGACTAAACGCTTGTTTTGCATTGCATCCCTGCCTCATTTTTTTTCTATCGTCACACAATATATGGTCATATCGCACTGTCCTACTATAAAGCTGAGTTGAGTTAGTTGCAGCCTTGCCATAGATATTGATAAAGTGATGAATAGGAGGTGGTGTGTAGAATCTATCATGGTTCATAGGCTCAACCAGTTGCTCCACAGCAGGATGTAGCCACCCTGTGTGTTAAGGAGGCGGTGGATCATATCCGTTTGCTCTCATCGTGCTCAACAGTGTCTCCAAAGAGCACAGGTCAAAGCTGCACACTGATTAATTTCTGTCTCAGTTGTCATCTGAAGGATTCACAGCCACGTTGACATGGAGGTTGCCAAATGGTGACACTCACCAAAGGCCCTCTCTGCGCCACAGATCCTGCAGACTCTGCCAAGCCTTCTGTCAGCTCCTTACTCTCCAAGTCATTTGTCATGATTCACCCTTAGAGCTTTAATCCATGTAGCTTGCATTAGAAAGTTTTGTCTAGTGAATGGATAACTGATTTAGTGCTGACACAGACAGTACTTAAATCACAAACCTCAATGGATGTTAAATAGGGTGACTTGAATACCATGCGGCAATTAGTGTATGTGTGTGTGGGTGTTTGAATGTGACAGAACGGCACTCCCTCTTAATTACTGGGCTTTTTCAACAGCTCCAATCAAACAGTGACTCATCCAGAGTCACAGTCGCCATGTGTCCTGGCCCACCAATTATTTCTCATTTCCTTTTCTTCTCTTAAATGGTTTAAGTTTCTGTATTGGCACTGAAGCAAAGCTTTAAAGGCTCCTGATGAATTAAGACTTTATTCACTTCTTTCATCTAATTACAAGAAAGGACAAAGGATAGTATCAGTGATGAATGCTGAATACGACCTAACGAGTACCTTGTGATTAGCAGTGTAATACAGGATGCGATTTCTACGTCATTATTACATAATGACAGATACTAGCACAAAATGTGACCAGTTGTTATATTTGTTTCCTAATTTTTAAACCAATTAAGGCTATTGTAAAACGAATAGAGCTGCTGATCAGTCTGCTTCTACCAGTTTTTGTAGAATAAAATTGAAAGAGTTTGTCATGACTTGACTAGGGATGGTGTTTACAATCCCAGTATGACAAACACATGGTGTGACAACAGGACAATCCTAAAATGGTCTTGTGACATGTGGCCCAGTGGCAGCAGCAGGCTCACAGGGTCTGGCTTGTTCAGTCTCTCTCTTTATGTCTGTACTGTAGGGCAGTGGGTTCCCTGCATGTGGCCTCCACAGTGACGTCATCTTTCAGCTGCCACCTATTGTTGTTTCTCTCCCTCCTCAACAAACTCCTCTCAGCCTTCACTCGTCTCAAAAGTTCCTTTCTGGGTTAGGGTTAGCTGCTGGAATCTGCTACACTGCACTGAATGCAAATACAAACCGCAAAGTTCCCACTGTGACTTAGTTTAGATTTTCCAGTGACAGATAATTTAAGCTGACAAGTGTTGATTGGCATTTTTTTTTTTCAGTCACGGAGCTAATATGGCTTTCGGGTGAGCAGTTAAAACAATGTTAAACTGTTGAAGAATGTTTGATAGGTGTCAACTTAAATTACTTGATAGAAGAAATTATTTTGACAGTTACATCTTGAGAGTTAAATGAACATTTTTATAATTTATAAACACTATAAACATTTAATTTTGTGTACTTTTATTGTCTGGATGTTATTTGTTTATACATCCAGCCTCCACCTATGCCCATAGGAGAAGTTGTTGACAAATACATTAATGAACACTTACAGCTGCTTACAACTACATTATAGTGTTTTATTCTAAATTTCTAAATGTTTATATGCTGCTGATACTGTAAATGTTAAATGGGGGGGGGTAAAGTACCTGCTTTATAATGTATTGTAGAGATAGTAGTCACTCTTGATACTGTAAGCATGTTGGCTATTGTGATGATGGGCCTCTCTAAATTAGCGTTATGTCAAGGAAAATGTTTGAGTCCGTGCAGAATATTTATTTTGTGCCCTGTTTTACAAGCAGGGCTGTAACTAATAATTCTTTTCATTTTTCATTCATCCAAATGTTTTTCTCAATTAATAGTTAAATAATTTGTCGTATCAAAGGTCAGAAAATTGTGAAAAAGTTAATCAGAATTTCCCATACAGAGGCCAAGGTGACATCTTCAAATTGTTTGTTTTGTCTCACCAACTGTCCGAACCCTCAAAACTTTCTCTTTATTATAATTAAATTAATTAATAAAAGAAGAGAAAAGCAGCATATTTGTTTAAAAGAAATTACTTAACAAATACATACAAATTAAAAAGTACTATTTTGATAATAGATTAATCTTTTGTCAATCAGTTAATTGACTACACATTAAAGCTCTTCCTAAACGTAAAGGAGCCCTGGTGAGGCTCCTGTCTCACATGTTTGTATCTATAACTTTGTCTGGAATGACGATTCGTACTTGTAGAAATACGATATTCAATAAACTATAATGTATATATTATTCTATGGTTAATATAACAAGTCTGACTTTGTGAGTGTTTGGGCATCTGCATGAAGTGCAACAGCTGCTTTGTGTGTAGGACATGCCCAGTTGCCCACACAAACAGTGTGGGAAGCAGGGATAAGATTAGAAAAGTGTTTGCCTTTAAACTTATTGCAGCCTTTCAGCAAAGGTTTATTTTTCTTTGACATACAGTTCATAACTTTATATATTCATACAAAATTAACCACTTAACAAGTCTGGCCAAATATTGATTGTTATCATATTCTGTGCTGTATGAATTACATTAAGATGGATGCATCTAAGAAGGTAGTTGCCCAGATAAGATTTAGAGACTTTTAGCACAAAATGTCTGTATGTGATAAACTTGGGTGTGTGTGTGTGGGTGTCTATATGTCTGCATACCACAGTATCATGGTAAATGCATTAATGGCCCCAATACAAAATACTGTTTTTCATCCCACTTGTTCTGTTATATGTTTTATGCAAGTGCCCTGTGGCTGTGTAATTTAAATAGGGCCATGAGTTTGTGAAGACTTCGTGCTTCAGGGAACTTGTTCTGTGAACTGGGGTCCAAGCAAGATGAGGCCTAGCTTATGTTTTTTTTTTTTAAGTATTTTTTGGGGCTTTTATTGCCTTTATGATAGGGACAGCTGAAGACAGACAGGAAAGGGGGGCAGAGAGAGAGGGGATGACACGCAGCAAAGGGCCACAGGTCGGATTTGAACCCTGGGCCGCTGCAGCAAGGACTCAGCCTTAGTACATGGGTCGCCAGCTCTACCCACTGGGCTAACCGGGTGCCTGAGGCCTAGCTTATTAGTCATTTTATTTGTTTTCTTCTTAGTCTTCTAGGGATGAACAACAGTTATTTTTGAAAGATTACACATGATAAATAAACAATAAAATGTTTAAATACTTTCGAATGCAATGAATAAAATGAATCCAGGGTAGATGCAGTATGATGAAATACTGAAGTCTTGTCTTTGAACTAAATATAAATTGCAACTTTGGCAGATTCCTCATTTCAGTTCCCAGCGGTCCTTTCAGTGAGAGCCACGGCTATTATTTTCAAGGTCAGAAGGAGAAACGGTTCTATGTTAGATATATATTTCTTTGGTGATAAAACAAGATTGCACAATCTCTTTTATTTGGTCATTAAAGATCAGCTCAGTGTCAGAAAATGACATCACAGCTTTTATTTTAAGGACATTTACAGACCGACAGTGTTTCAAAGTATGTCTGTGGACACTGAACATCAGTGA